CGCTGTGATCGGGCGATAGGATCCTATCGGCCTTTTGTTTCTTTTTCTATTTCCATCGTACGCAATCGAAATTGATGTGGTCATGCGTTTTCATTAAGGCTCGTCGTTTTTTAGCATCTTTTGTAAGTCCATGAACGGCACCAACGTACGCTGTCCAGCTTGGTTGCGTGCCAGACAGAGAACGCTCGGCGATTGTCTAAAGCTTTCGTAGCGCACCTCGAATTGGAAAAATTAAAAAGAAAAAAAAATGGTCGTTCATTTTCTCTCGTCTTTCGATACGTGCTGACTGACTTCGTTATGCCACTGGGGTTTTTAGCGTTTATTCCACATTTCGATAAGGAAGAAACAAATTGGTCATGTTTAGTTTTTCTAAGGTACGAACGCAAGATACTTTTTTTAAGAATAAAAAGAAAACAAAAAAGATTCCATGAATCATTTTTGTAAAAGAGAGAGAAAAAAGGTACCAAAAATAGGTGTTAAACACAAGTCATCATACCCATGAATCTTTGGTTTGCGGGAAGAAGATGGGCTCCGCCCCTAATCGGTCCATAATTGATTAATGGTGGCCCCTGAAGCAAAGAAAAAAACGAATAATTAATTGAGAAACAAAGTTGCAATCGATAGTATTTAGAAGGGCCCGTGTCGGGCTTAGGAGGGCCTGTGTTAGGCGTAGGAGCCATCTCGCAAGACGGACCATTCGCGCCCACTTGGCAATCTGTCATACTTCCTCAAGATTTCACCTTGGGATGATTGCAACCATCATATAGTTTATTCAAAGGGTTTTCCATTTTCAAAATTTTGAAGAGAGTAAAAAGAAAAAAAATTCATAAAATAAATGTAGACAAACGGATCAACGTTCTTTTAAAAAATCTTAAATGAAAATTTTTGTGAATCCACTAAGCTCGACGGTAGACGTCATTGTGGAAAGGTGGTGTCGGGATATCGATGGAATACAACAGTCGATAGCTGCGCTCCCTCTCTCCTCCTGACATGTCACTATATTTTTTCCTTGTTATTTTTTTCTCTAATCTTGTGTTAAATTGAATTTAATACTTTAAAGCGATCTCTATATCGTTTTTTTTTTGTCAAAAGAAATTTCCGTTCATTACCAAAATGATACATGAAAGGATTTCTAGGAAATCTCAAAAGTCACAATAACAAAGCAAGTCCATGGAGCTCTAAAACAAATCGAAAACCAGAAATCAAGGCATATCCTCATAACATGGTTGACAGAGATAATCACACGCTCTTCCTTCAGGAACAGATATGTGATTGCATCTAAGTGAAAGGATCGGCGGTCGATCACCGAATCATATAGCTTCATCAGTGATAAGCATATGCCGGTATCTTTGGGATCTCCATCTGTAGTTACAGTTTTGGCGTCTAGGTAGTTTTGGCGTCTAGGTTTGACGTCTCCAACACCATCATTGTACATAGACAACATAAACATGTTGAATAAACTCAAATATGACACCCGTGAGAGTAAGCCCTTTAGCCAGTGCGAGACGCCAAAGATTTTAACTAAAACATGTTGAACGAGCAAAGATTTGATACCGAAGCTACTGTGAATACCTTTGAAATTGGAGACGGAGTACTTATTCATTAAAACTCTAAAATCTGGAATTAGATCATAGAAAAAAGCTCCCAGATATAAGATCGGGAGAGCAAAGCTTCGAGATGTAAAACTAGATTGGGAGAGTAAGGAAAGAAACAAAATGAAATTAAAGGAAAAGCAACTAGGAGGGTACGGAGAGATCTAGGTCAAATCCCTCCCCTCCCGAATTGTAAGAGGCGAAGAAAGGTTCAAAGAGGGAAGGAGAGCAGGTGTTGGAAGAGGAAAAGTCGATCTCCATACTTTTAGTTGCCACATTGGGTGTTAATGGTAAAACAAATCATGAAAGACGGAGCATTTGATTAACACAAAACAAAACGTTTGAGCACCCAATTTGACGATCTACACGAGTCAAGTTGAAAGGACGAAAAATCGAAATTGTCCCAAAGTTTTCGGCGTCCAACTCCGGAACCACGACCAACACCGACCATGCTCAATGGAATATTCTCTAATTTCTCGCGCAAGCAATCGCGGATGGCCTCGAACCTCACGATCAAGGATTCGACATCCTCCTACGTCGTAACGGAAGATGGACCCTTGGGCCTTTGTTTCGAGATTTATTGATGGAGAACTTAATAACTCTCACTTTTCTTTGGCCAATGAGATAATTAGACCTCGCTTGGGAATTTGCCCTTTGGCTATCCGCTAACAACACGCGATATTTTAAGAAGTTTACTATTCGTTTCAGATTAATTTTCTAACTCAATAAATTTTCTTCCTAATCGGATGATAATAATTAGTAACACCGGAAGACTAGCAAAATACAAAAAAGAAATCCCGAAATGCTTAAAAGCATTTGATGTAGTAATCATTTCCGGAGAAAAACTGGTTGATGGAAGATCTTCCAAAACAGGATACCTTTGCCTTTTTTTTAACTTTTTGCAATCGTTCATGTCCGTCATCGCTGTTGTTGTGAGGTGGTCCTGGGATGAGTCAACATTATCAATGGGATTATGAAGGTTGATAGTGCGCGCTCTCCCTCTATCCTCCTAACATGTTACTGTATTTTTTTCTTATTCTTATCTTATATTAGATTAAATTTTTATAATATAAAGAGATTTCTTTACTTTTAGCTACCCGCATCGGGTGTTAATGGAAAAAGGAATCGATTGGGCGAATTATTGATTGTACAGATCACGAAAGGCAAGGTTTTTAATTACCACGAGTTAAAAGTTTGAGCACCCAATTCGACCATCTACATTAGTCAAGTTGGAAATACGAAAAACTAGAATTGCGCAATTTTCGACCACCAACTCTAGAACTACCACCAGCACCGACCTTGACCGATGCATATTGATTCTCTAGCTCGACAAGTCTTCCTCCAAATTGGATGATATTTTAGTCTTGAGATGCATCGTGTTTGTGTTAATGTGTTTTGATGAGTTAGGCTATGAATTTGATGATTTGTGATGATCAAAAGCGCAAGGCGAGGCATGGGATCTTTGTGCACCAAAATAATAATTGAGGAAAAAGGAGTTATAAGAATGCAAGATTTGTCATGACAGTGCACGAGTCCAAGAAAAAAGAAAGAGTTAAAAGAATCACCATGATTGGAGCACAAAGGAGAGGATAAGGTGTCATCTTCCAAATTAGGAGGATTTCTAACAGCACTCAAGAGATATGGTTGTGCTTGAGAGAAAAAGCAGGTGAGAGGACCTGTCTGTGGAAAGGAATCTGTGGAAAGGAATTAGTTGACATCTTCCAAATTAGGAGACGCAACGAGAGCCAACTCTTTCATTGAGCGATTTAGTCTCCTATTGGCCTTTGCTTGTATTTTATTTTCCATCGTACATGTTAGTAATTGATGTTGTAGCATGTTTCGATTAAGCCACATTGTTTCTTCATCGTATCAACTTGAATTACATGCTTAGTTTCCATGATGGTGGCAAGGTGGTGTTGGTATGAGTTAGAATATGACGGCCGATAGCTGTGCGTGCACTCTCTCTCTTGTCCTAACATGTTACAATATTTTTACCTTCTTCTTATCTTATAATCGATCGAACATTATAATTTAAAGTGATTTCTTTACTTTTAACTGCCACGTCGGGTGTTAATGGCAAAAAGAATCGATGGGGCGAATTACCAATTCCAAACATCGTGAGAGGCATGAATATTTAATTAACTCCATAATTACCACCACCAGCACCGACCTTGACCGATGCAGATTAATTCTCTAGCTCAACAGATTTTCCTCCAAATGGGATGATATTTTACGTTTTGAAATGCATCATATCTTGATTTTTATAGTTTGTCTAGATATCTCCTTCAGCTTCATGTACAACACACGTAGTTGTTCACACTGCCATAAACGAAAAGAAGACAATCCACAAGTACCTCCGTCATAAGGGCGACGTGATTCCGCCAATGAGTCAAAGAGAATGGGAGGACTGGGCCAAGAAAGAGTATGATTCTTGCGCGACAAGGGAGACCTTAGCCTCCTCGATCATGAAGCACGAGTTCGTTCTCGACTATCTGCGCAAGAAGTTGAAGGATTTTGGAGGACAACCCATCGGTTAAGGCCGGCGCCAGTGACGATTCACTTAAGGACTGCATCCGTGATGTTGATGGGGACAGGCTTTTGATTTCGCCGGCAGACTTGGCCGCGAGCAGTGGAAGTTCGGGAGTGGAGTCCACCCCGATGTCTCCGATCATGAGGATTGTGGGTTCGATACCGACGCCTTTCTTAATCTCCTCGCTGACAGCGAAGGTAACCTGATTGGGCCGTAGGGCTCGGCCGTCGGCGATTGAAGCCCAAGAGAGGAGTCCGCGCGCTCCGATCTTGAGGGCTCTAGAAATGATGAGGACGACATCTTAGTTGCACTTGAAAATTTGGACGTCCCTCTTGTGATATAAATATGAGTGCATATATATATGTGTGTGTGTATGTATGTGCGTTTTGTTTCTCGTCATGCAGAATGGTATGGAGCAACATACCTTTTAATACTCCCATCCTGATGTAACTTCTTTTTTTTTTCCTGGTCTATTTCCCCTCACGTTAAGTCGAATGTTATAATTTAGCACGATTTCTCCACTTTTTTTTAATTTTAACAGTGCCACATTGGGTGTTAATAGGAAAAGGAATAGGTCGGACGAATTATGGAATTCACAAATCGCGAAAGATAAGAGTAATGAATTATCAACGCAATTAAAAAGGAGTTAATTTACCTAATTCGGTGATCTAAGAAAAATCCGAAGAGCCGACTTCGATGAGATAAAGAGCCCTAGAAAGCTTGAGGGGGAAACTAGAACCTGATTCGAGGAAGGCTTGGGCGAGAATGACAATTACTATATTCTAGAAATCAATTTCTGGTCATAAATAAAATTTTCTATTTCTATTACCTAAATGAGTTTTTTAGCCAAAAAATCTGCATGACAACGACACAAAATTTCTCCCTCCCGGTAGCTAGCGGCCGGCGGCGGGCGAAGGACAGCCGAAGGTGACTGGCGTCAGACAGTAAGCGGCGGACGACGGCGGGAGGCGACCTCCGGCGGCAGGAAAAAATAGAGAAACAGAATCGTACTCGCCTTGCTTTTTGTTTGGGCCTTTGTTGAAAAGTCTGGAGCCGAGTTGGCTCTTCTGCTGCAACGAACAATTACACTCAGCGATAAGCACCCTGATAAACTTGCCAGTTCTGATAGTCTGACTCGGCCGCCGGCGGTGGATGTTCGGGAGTGGAGTCCACCCCCCACGCGCTCCGATCTTGACGGCTATGGGTGTATTCCCGACGACTTTCTTACTCTCTTCGAGTGCAGCGTCGGCGACGGTGACCGCCGCCACGGTTTCTTGACTTCGCCAGAGAACTCGGCCGCCGGCGAGGGAAGCTCGGGAGTGGATTCCATGCGCTCCGATCTTGAGGGGTGATGGGTATAATAATCCCGATGACTTTCTTACGCTTGAAGATTTGGGTGTCTCTCTGTGATGTAAATATGGCTATGTGTTTTTTCTTGTTAAAATACGCTGTACTAAAGAGAGTAGATAATGGGTTTCAACGCTGGTTGTTCAAATTTTCCAGTTCAGATCATATCCAATACATGTTCGGATTTGTTTGATTGTAAATTGGTAATGGTTCCTCCGCCTTTTCCTTGTTCTCGCTATTTCTGGGTTTCTACCGTGAGTGGACCAACGAAGAGAGATGACTCTGTTAGTCCTGCTTCTTGACATTGGGATGCCCTATTTATATTCCAAAATAAGCCAATGCAGAGAAAAGAGTAGTATCTGTCCAAGGAAATGTTCAATTTGCAAAGCATGAAAAAGAAATTTGCAACCCTGAATAGGTTCGGAAAATAGATTTACCATTTGCCATTCAATTTGACTCTGTTTGTCACACTGTCTTACTGTTTTATGAACTGCCGCTTTTACATGACTCCCCTGTCCAAATACTCAAATTCTCGGGCTAGCATGAATGAACACACAAGCTCCAATGCTGCTTCTTCCTGAAATTGAGGTTGAAGTCTCATCCCCTTTGATCCCTCTCAAATTGCAGACACTGACTTCACAAATTGTTCTCCTTCCACAACAACTAGTAGATGCAGAAATGGGGGAAGAAGAAGGAGCAGGAGAAATTCAAATCCAATCACTCCTAGAAGAGAGTTTCCAAGAATCAGCCAACCCAAACCCCACCTGCAAACAAGCCTTCGAGTAGGCCTCCCCCTCTCACTCAATCAAAGTCGTCATAGTGAGATGGCAACTCATTCGGAACAAGCTCATGGAGATATCTTCTGCATTGGCCATATCTGATGAGTGCACTGAGCTTCCAAGGCATGGTTCAAGAAATGACGTTTGCAGTCAGGGAGTGTTGTGGCCTTGCTGAGAAATGCATGGGTTCATTCCTATAGCGGGAAGCTATTGATTCAGAGCAATTTGGGCATGGTCTTGACAAAGCTCCGTTGCCATGTCAAGAATCTCTCTGGGATGTGCAAAACCAGTTTTTTCCTCATGGGTGTGCCGTTGTTGTCTCAAAGCCCAGCTTTGGGGCTTGTAAGGAGGACATGAGGTTTTAAGTTAAGGATTTGTGGACAAGGAGGAAGATTGAGGAAGTCCCAGAAATGAAGAGCCAAGCTCTGGCTAGTTTGCACAAAGTTGCGAATGACGATGAGAAATTTGTGAAGGTGGTCATGGAAGTTGGTGAGGTCATTCACCTCTTGGTCAGCTCTCTTGATTCTCTGGAGATTGAAGTTCAAGAAGAGGCTGCAAGAGTGCTCTCAGTGGTTGCAGGGTTTGATTCATGCAGGGCTATGGCTATGGTGATTACCTGGTCTGCTGCCACTTACTGATGAGAAACTTAACTTCTTGGCCACTTTAGCAGAATGCTTTTCATAAGTGTTTCTGTTAGCCCTCATGATAAACTTAACTAAAGGTGAGGGCTACTGCATAGGCTGCTTTCTAGGGTTGTACAAATGAGCGTTCCTTGACTTTTCTTGGTTATATGGTTTCGAACATCTGGTGGAAACACTAGGTTGTGATTGAAGTTTACTTGATTGTACATTCATGTAGCTCAAGCATAATTGTCAAGGGTATTCTGTCTTCCCATCTGTAGGAAATCATGGTGTTGAATGCTAACAGTTGACAACGTGTTCTGGGGCTGATAATCACAAATGTTGCTGTTTTTCTGCTGTGGCAGATTGCTGATCGTAGTATTATGATGAAAAACTATACAGTAAGATCTCTGTCCTAGAACTAAAGGTCTCCAATAAAACCAGGCCAGACGATGCTGGTCTAAATTATAAAATTTCATTTCTCAATCCAAGTGAGTCTACGATTCTTTAGTGCAGCTTTGCTTAGACAACTTTAAGAGCAGTCGTCTGCACATGCTGATAACTTGTTTCAGCCATATGACCATGGAGCATACAATCTATAACATGACTGGACTTTACTTTTTGGGGTACAATGTATGATTTAACGACTCTTCATCTTCTTTTTTCCTTTGAGAAAAGATGCCTTTTTCGCTTAAATGTTTTAGTTTTCCTGACAATTTAATGCTCCTGTGTATTTGAATTTGTAGAATTGCTTATCTTCATTTTGAAGCTTTAACAATAGAAAGACTGTAACTTTTATGCATTTGAAAATGGCCAGTTTTCTGGTGGGGGAGAGAGTGAGAGAGAGAGATTTCTTTCTCTTTTGTTTATGTTTATGATGGGGACCTTTTCTGAAATATGTTAGGTACAATTGTACCGTTTGTGGTCTTGTGCCTCGGAATAAGTAGATACCTTACTTAGGTGGTTTGATTTTTCTATTTGATGGATGATATCCTGTGCTCTACTTGTTTCTAATTAATTATGTACAGTTAGATTGGGAGAAATTTTGGATCAGAATTCTTGTTAAAGTTGTATCTGGCTGTGGCTCTTGGTGGTCCAGAATTCTATTTGGTGCATCATGCTTTCATGCGTTCGCAGTCGAAGGTAAACTGAATATATGGAAATATGCGTAGAATTATTTTGTGGACTTTTAGCTAATGCAAATTTTTCTTATCTCAAACTTTGCAGGGTCAAGGAATGTTCCGCATAGACCCTTCGAGAATGCCAGGATTGGTATGTGTAAATAGAGCAACTACTATCGAGATGAACAATAATTTATGTTAATCCACTAGTCACATTTTGTCCACTTTAAGTTTATTCCATGTCTTTGAATGTCAGTTTGTTGACAATCTGAAATGGTCTAGAAAAATCGTGCTTTACTTTGAGATAGGCGATTGCAGTTTCCAGTCCCAAAACATGAAATAGCGCTTCCTATCTTTCATAGATTATGTCAAGGTGCATTATCTATAATCCGAAACAATGCTCGTTGACATAATCAGAAGTAAAGCATGCTTTTTGGTGCTGCAAGTGTGTGATACCATATTCTGGAAGATCCTGGGCTCGATTTATGAAAGAGCCGTGAAACCTGCAGCTTTTATGTGATTCAACTGGCATGTGCTCGAGTTTTATCTTAATGGTGATATCCTTTTAGGGGGCTAGTGGAGCTGTTAATGCTATCATGCTGCTTGATATATCTCTTTCCAAAAGCCACACTCTACTTCGACTTTATCATTCCAGTTCCTGCCATCTTACTGGTAATACTTCCATGGTTTTGATAGTAATGTTGTTTCTTTTGGGGGTTAATTTGGATATCTCTCTGAATCAAATTTTAATTACTTGTTAGGGAATTTTTCTGGTAGGCAAAGATGTGTTGAGGTTAATCAAGGTATGCATCGACTTTTTTTTTTTTTACTTTCTGTAAGATAGCTAGTCTTTTCGTTGAATTACTTCTCTCTTTCTATGATGATGAACATTTTGATCAGTTAATCACTCGATTGGATCTAGACAACAATTGATATGTAGTAGTGTCGCAAAGATTGAAATATAGAGATAGGATAACTAGTGTAAAGCATGATTGCATCAAATATTATAAATTAGTATCTGCTGCAATGGTAATTCTAAGTGTGCTGATTTCTTTGTATTACTTAACAATTATGAACATCAAGATATGTGAGTCAATGTGACACCGCATCGTCAATGATGCGGCACCACCGTTATACTTTCTCCCAATTTAGAACTTTGAATAGTTTGTAGAGAAAGGCCCTTGGATATGGTCGGGAATGAGCAGTCTTGCTAATACAGCAGCATGAGCATACTAATTCTGAATTTAGAACAGCTTGCAACTTGTGAAACGTCTTCTAAATAATAGAAATCACAAATTATGGCTCTATAAGTCATCGAGTTATCAACAAAGTGCTGGTCCTTTTGTCAAAGAAACAGAGAGGCCGTGTTAGTGCATGAGCGTCAGAAATGGAAGGGACATTCTGTCCTATGCAATCCGAGGGAATTTTCTCAATCTGTCATGTACAAACTGCCTGTGAAGAGCGGTTTTAAATCTTCGGCTTCTCATGTTGATTTCAGCACGGATAACTGATTCTCTTTTTTTTCCATTCTGTTTCTTCATTTTTATGAAGTGGGTGTGAAGGTGATTGCCTCTAGGTTGTTGCTGAAAACTTATATAGCAGCTGGCAGAAACGGCACTGGAGATCTTTAAAATACTGAAAGAGATGACATAACAATGAATGACGAGCTCTTTAATTTGTGCAAAACGGCATGCGCACCATGACTACGATGGCGGGAGCATTACTGACATACACAATTAGACAATCTTCGCACAATTAAAAGTTCACAATAGCTCGTAGACGTCGCTGGTAAATGTTTGCTGCATGCAAGGCCTGAAATATTTGCGGAGATCTTTTGTTGATTCTGCACTGGGAAGTATCAGCTTAATAGTCATTGCTGCTCACTCTGTTAGCAGAGCACTTTGATGTGAAAGTATCTGTCAAGATGTCCAATGGTGCAGGTTGTATAAGGATATGCAAAGAATATTAATTGAATAATCTAGTAGTGATCTTCTCCTGCAACTGTCATATTTCTTGTAAGTTCTTCCCAAAGCATAGCAAGTTATTTATATGGGTCTGTTCACTAGAAACATATAACCATTCTCAGAAAAGCGACATTTGCCTCCGGGTGCACATGAGCCCGATGATCTTATCATTTGGACCATTCTACGTGGGGTCCAATGATTCAATGGTTAAGATTTACTATGTTCATAAGTATTCAGAGCAGTTAATAAATTCTTCGAGTTTATAGGCCTGACCTCTGATGGGAGGGAAAGACAAATTTTCTCATTTATAGGTGATTAAAACGCGCGCATTGTGGTTGGGGCTAATTGGTAGGTTTGTTCTTGTGCTCAGTCGATAACTATAGCTCGTGAAGTATCAATCACACTCTTGAGTTTTTTCAAGGTGAAAACTAGCTTTTCCTTTGCTTACGGATGATTAAATCTCTTGGGCTTCTGAGATTATATTATTCATCTCCTATTGGGTTTGAAACACAGGATTCAAATTATGTAATTGGTCTTACTATAGTCCTTGTACTTTACCAGGGTGCTTTCTGTTTACAAAGAACCATATTGTGGTCTACACCACAATTATCGGACCATGTTTTGCAAAGTTCCCTCCAAAATTGATGGGGTATAACCATGGACATCACCTATATTTGTATTTGGTTCATTTTGCACTTGGATAATGTTCACAACTTATAATCCATTAATCACAAGAGCAATTGCTCGTATATTTTTATCAATGTTCCATATTCAATTTATTGATGAGAGAAAAAAGAAAAAAAAAATCAAACAATAATGTAGACAAACAAACGGCATAATTTCGATTGAAAATCTCGTGACGAGCTTCCTTCGTTAAACCTCTCGATGGGATCCACTAAGCTCGATGATCATGGTGGACGTCATGGTGGCAAGGTGATGTTGAGATATCGATGGAATACGACTGTCGATAGCTATGCTCTCTCTCTCCTCCTAACATGTCATTATATTTTTTTCCTTCTCATTTTTATTTCTCTTTGGTCTGAAACTCTTGCCTATATATGCTCCCTATCTTGCCGATTGCAAACCCTCTCTCGCTCTCGTCATCTCTCTCTCTCTCTCTCAATTATTGTAGGTGCGATTCGAGAGAGCTGCACAAATTGCCATTCATGTTGGTCTATAAAGATCTCCTCACCACTAACGAGTTAATTAGACTTGCCCCGAAATAGCTTCATGAGATCAAGTTGAGTGAATTAAACCTTGCATTTGCAATGATTGATGAATTTAAGCCACATGACTAATATTACCTGTAGATGCTTCTAACTTTTTGCTACTATAGATATTGATTTCATGTGAATTAGACAGTTCAAACAAAGGTAAGTCTAAATAGTGTAACCAGTCACGTAGTCATCGGCATCGCAAAGAACATGAATCTCGCAATGATTTGCCTCACTTGGCCATTCACCACAAAGTTTCAAACCATGCATTTGGTATTGGTCTTCAAATTATATGAGCTCGATTTAAGAAATATCAAGTCATGGCAATCTTGATATGTCTAGCTAGGGCAACGACGCTATCGAATTTGTGTTTGCACGAGAATATTAATTATGTCAGCTCTACAGTAATGAGAATTAAGATAATCTAAGGACGAATTAACATTTTCAATTTACTCCTCAAGATAGACTGCGGCATATATCCTCACTCACCAAGATAAGTCAATTGAAATCTCTCCTCACGCGTAGCGCTAATGTTGTGGTCTCTCTCTACTTTAAAAAAGATGACAGGTAATTAAAAATATGGGATTCATTAATTCGACGCAAAAAAAAAAAACTGAAGTGTTGAAAGATCACTAAACATAACGCACAATACATTTCAACATAAAAAGCCTATACAAAGGAATCACAATGATAATAATAGAAAATTAGACAAATAGATATGCTTAATACAATCAAAGTGATCCAATTTATAAGGTACCTGGTCTAGTTGAAGTTTTAAATGGCCACTGCACCGAACGCCACTCTGAACCATCATCAATCATAGACTTCTTGATTTTACCTTAACTATGCTATTTCATAGTAAGAAAATATTAGGTACAAACTTTTCTAAACATCCCCATCCATCACCAATGATGCGGTGCGTCGTTAGTTAATTGCTACAAATAAAAATAGTCGACACTTTTTATTTTTGAAAACTTGACCTTAAG